ATTTCAAACCTCTAGCTCACGTCCTTCTTGGGAAACGGACAGACAGACAGACAGACAGACAGACAGACAGACAGACAGACGAACACAGAGGCGATGGCATAAGCCCGCTTATATAGCTTTTAAGCAAAAGAGCGGGCTAAAAACGCGCATAAGCATATCAGGTTTACAAAGATTCACACAGTGAATAATTTTTTTAGAAGCTTTAAGTGTATCACAACTGATTATTTTTTTGTGAAGATCGTGCAGACTCATATCCTGAACAGAACCGTATTGCTATGTAAAAGCCTTTCCCGAAAATCGCATCACGATGCGCCGAATGGTTCGTCGTGTACAGCGCTGGTTTGGAGAGAGAATACATCTTGTTGAAGAGGCCTTCCTGAGGCGTCTTCTCTCAGCCGTCACCGTAGCTCAGTGGGAAAGAGCGTCGGTCAGAGGATCATAAGCCCTTGGGGTAAGGGAACGAATCGTGGTTGTCTCGCTTTTTTCGTGTACTGCCCGCATCTCGGGCTGTTCCGAAATCTACCCGGTCGCGCGCTGCGGACAGTTCCAGAATCTTTCTGATTTCTCTCTTTTCCGGCGTACTTTCGGAGTAGTCCGATACGTCCGGACTGTTCCGCGAGCTGCCCGATCTTCGGGCTAGTTTCGGAATGATATATTTTCATAAGGGTACTCACAGGTCGGGCCACAGGCCTGATCAAATGCCGCCGGCAGCCCATGCTGGGCCCAGCCCCTGCCAAACGGAGCTGAAAGCAGGGCGAAGTGTCCGTAAAGAAATAGTAACGAGGGTACTGAGTCAAATTTTCCGTAGCTGAGCCGGTGAGTATATCCGTCCCTGATACAGTGTGACGGGCTTGAGCGGGCCGAAGTCCCGCAACAGCTTTTGATTGTGTTCTTCAGTAAATAGCGTGGCTGAAATGGTCGGGCCGCATGCTAGAGACCCGCAACGAGTGAGCTACGCGAGCAAGGCGCTAGAGCCGCGCGCTGCGAGCTATTTTGCTCGTGGACCGCGCGATTTCCTTGCTCGGCTCTGCTTGGCTCGCGCATGTGACTGCGAGCTATTTAGCTCGTGGCTTGTGTGCGCGCTGGCGCTGCAGGCGCAGGCGACGGCGAGCAGGGGAACCTGCATGCTGTAGCAATGAGCCGGGCCTGCGAGCAAATTTGCTCGCACGAGCAGTGCGAGCAGCGCCAGGGGGGCCTCCGAAAAGCTAGGCTGTCTCCGCCATGGAGGCGCGCGGCCCTATGAGCAAAATAGCTCGCAGCGCGCGGCTCCAGCGCGCTGCTCGCGTAGCTCACTCGTTGCGGGTCTCTAGCGCAGGCCCAACCATCGGCCGCAGGCAGGCCAAGCATGCCTGGCCCCTGCCGAACACAGTTGCCGGTGCAGCCAAGCGGAGCTGGCAACTCCTTTTGGCGGAAGGGCGGGCCTGCTTGTTTTTGACAGTGTTATGGTTTTGTCGTGTACAAATAAGCAGACCTTTGTAGCTTCGTCAAGGAAAGTAGCACTAAAGGTTAACCAGCTGACACATTTCTCTACACCTCATAAAACGTTTATGTAGGTGCTCGAGAAAACAAGGGGGGGGGGGCGGAAGGGGGGTAATATGTAATTTTTCTATTTGGTAATTAATGACTGAACATCTTTTCCTACTATATTTGTGTGAATAGCTTCTATCATGGTGCATCAACTGTACGTAAACATGCACTTTTGTGTTTCTCGTGTCTGTAGCCTCCTGGCCTGGCCGCATGCATGGCACATGGAAGTGTTCAGGTCATCTGGTGAAAACCATCGAAGTCACACACGCGTGCATACACAGTTAAATAAAGCATTCCGGTAAAGCTGAAAAGCAGAAGAATACGGGTCAGAAGAAAACGCAAAATCGCTATGCCTGAACATGGTGACTTCCGTTTTCTGCTTCTCTGCATTCTTCTGCATTTCAGCTTTACCGAAATGCTTTATTCCTGCAAGGCAATGCTTTGCAGAACTGCGAAGTAATTAGATCCTTTGTAACGAAGAATCGATTGCAAAGTGATGCTTTGAATTTAACAGTGTAGGTTTTTCTGATCACTGTTATGGGTGCGTCACTGGTTGAACATTTGATATAGTGCCACAAGATACTCTATTTCGCATTACGTGGAGGGGGTTGGATTGGTAGGGGGGGGGGAATCTCTCAGCCTGACCTTCGGACTTATTTCGGACTGCCCGTATCTCGGACTGGCCCGAAAGCCGCCCGGTTGCGCGCTTCGGACAGTTCCAGAATCTTGCTGATTTCTCTCCTTTTCGGATATATTTCGGAGGAGTCCGGGCTATTCCGTAGACTGTCCGGTCTTCGGGCTAGTTTCGGAATGATTTATTTTCATAAGGGTGGTTACCATGTATTTCTTGTTCCGGTTATTCTCTTTCTCTCAATCTCGCTCTCTCTGTCTCTCTCAGATCTCTCTCAGAGCAGACGCATTATTTCAAGTATTCAAGTCAAGTGAATCATGAACTTTAGAAGGGTGTTATAATTACAAATCCCCAGTAACCTGAACTCATAATACGTCACCCAAGTTTCTAGTGAGGCGTTTAAATACCATTCATGTTACCTCCATAGCACCATTGTAAGGCTGGCCTTTCGATGGAAAAATCTGGGTAGGAGAAAAAAAATATGGTAGAACACCTCAAAGTTTCCGCACACAACACACGCTAACTGCACGTTAGCCTAACTGAACATTAGCCTAACTGAGCGTGACAGCGACTGGACATTAGGGCATCAGCACGTTAGTCGAACTGCCCGTTAGTTTAACTGAGCATTTGTCAAACTTATGCAAGGCTGGACTGGACGTTAGCGAAACGTTAGGTAAACCGGCATAGTATGAAAAAAGTGTATGACTAAATAAAAATTAGTCAAACTGAGCGTTAGCCAAACTGAACGCCATGCCTGCCATGTGTTGTGCCAAATTCACGTTGCCGTTCATTTTGCCCAACCGTCGTTAGTTTGGTTGCCGCAGTCACTTTAATTTCCGTCTTTTGGTAATCGCTACGTGTGTGTGTCGTGGTTCAAGTAGTGGAGCCTTGGGTCGAGGCTGGGAGCCGCCGGCCCCGCGCGGGCCAGCTGAGGCCCTCGGGGCCAGGGCGGCCCGCGACACCCAAGGGGCGCCTCACCGAGTCGTCCTCGTTTTAGCTACGCCGCTGGTGGCAGGCTACAAGCGACCGCCGAGGCTTCAGATTTTAATAAGTCAGGTGTGCAGGGATGGCCCTGCCTTGTTTGTCAGCCCGAGAGTCGGCCCGCACGCGCCGCCGGGGCACGGCCAGGTGACCCTGGACCGGAAATGAACAGGTGCGAAAAGGCGGCCGCGGCCGGCGCCGCGGCCGGTCGCGCCATCGTGTCCACGAGGCCAAGCCGTGGCCTGAGGAAAATTCGAGCATAAAGGAAAGCCACCCGTCGATTTGGCCACGGCGCTACAGTGCGAATAAGGTTTTGATACCTTTGAAGGAGCGGCGCGAGGGCGGGCGGCCCGTGCACCGCTCGACCCCTCCCCTCT